GTTTTCTTCGCAAATTTTTGAAGAAATATGAAAAAGCCAACAAGCGTCCACTTAAGATATCCGCAGTTATTTAAAGCCTCGAGTGAGCAGCTTGTGCCGTGTAATAGGTTGCATAATTTTGACTCCTTTATTAATCAACTGCCTGAACTGTTATCAAAAAGCGATAATCTGGCTCAATCGGAAAATATTACGTTCCAAGACGCAGTGGAACGGTGAGGAAGGCACTAGCATTAGTATGACAGAATAAGTTTGTAAATAATGGCAAGGGACAAGGAACCTGTACTTCAAGGGGGCAGGTGATCATATACCGTGTTTCACGACTGGAAACTTCATCTAATTGAACGTGCGTACATTCCCCCTTGCTTAGAACCATGAATTCTAGGCTACGGCCGACGTCGCATCGCGGGCTGCGGCGTCTGGCGCGGCGAAACCTGCCTCGGGCGCGACGTATTGGATCGTCACGCGACGCCTTGAGTTTTTGTTTCTTAAATAAGCATCAACTGTTCTTTGATATAGAGATGCCTCATTTTCCTTTTTGCCACGTGTGCCTTCTGATGTGATTAAACTTATAACTTAAACTATAACAAATCTTCGACGTGGCCATTTTTTTTAATAGCGGAGCGTATTTAGCAGTTTCAAAAATCCTTGTAAGAGCAAATCTTCGGTTATCGACTACTTTTAACTTTTCGAATTTGATGAAAATGAACAAGTTTATGGATGGCTTTGGAAAGCGTAAAAACTCGCACTCATCACGAATTTTCCTCGTTAATTTTGCAAAAATCCTCAACGTGGCCATTTTTTGAATACTGGACGTATGAAGCTGCTTTAGCGACCGTTTGATAGAGAAAATCTTCTAGTTTTGTATGACGTATTAACTTTTTAAGATTAGATAAAATTGGAGCAAGTTGTGGGTTTGGAAAGTGTAAAAACTCGCGCTCATCATAAAGTTCCCTCGTCAATAGATCTAAATTTGTTATTCCTTGTAATTTTAATACTGATTAAAAAGAGCACTTCACAAGACCTTCATAACTCCTTTCAGCTTGAAAATTCGTCCACTTTGAAAAAGTTATAGTCATTTAAATATGTATTCAGATTTCCATAGTACATAAGCTGCTCCAAGGCCAACGCAGAAGTTCAATAACACCCCAGCTTGCCTAAGGGCGGTCTGCAAGGTTTATGGTAACATCGGGTTGTACAGGGTGAAAATCGCTTGAGGAAAAGACAACGGCTTGTCGAGGATTCTTTCACGCTCTCCCACGCGGATGCTCACTCTCGCCAGCTGCGAGCCGTCTGTGCTCTCCGCGCATTCATTCACTCTCGACACTACTCTCGCACGGTAGAGAGCCATGGTCGAGGAACTAATTCCACCCTTATTCCTAATGAAACCCTGTTTAGTTCTAACATTGTAAGTCTTGGCGGAGGAAATAAATACGAAGGATAAGAGGACTCTTCCCTTCGCGACCGCGCAGGATTGCGCAATAGCAGCAGCGTCAGGAGATTTTTCTTCAATAAAATCCGAGTGAAGGGAGATTTCCTCTGCCCAGGGCTGGCGTAGATGAGCGAGGGTATGAAGATTCTTTCCATGGAAGAAAACTTTCCAAATTCCATTTCAAGCCCTGCAGCCACAGTAATACCATTGTCCCGAGTGAGAGCTTTGTCAGCCACCGGTGGCTGACATTGTCACGAATGGGTTAATAATGATCATTCTTTGACTTTTTACTTTTGTACTTTTTAAAATTTTTTGTGGACGGTGGGGTAGCAGGGCTTTTTTATGAGCAGTTTTGGTGGAGAATTAAACAACCTTTTCATAGTTCGGCTTTTGAAGAGGGTTGTTTCATGGACTTCGGCCTTTGGCGGAGGGAGGGGGGGTCGTATTTCCAAATTTTCCTCGACGCCTCGCTTGACCCTGCTCCGTCAGCAGCGGTCGCAGAACCCACCCTTACGATTAACATGTTATGTGGGTTCCTACCAATATTTTGAATTCTCCAATTACGGTGGGCCAATTGCAGCAACTGCGTTTCTTTTCGAAAAGGAACGGGGAGTCAACTGATTGAACTTTGAATGACGAACTAAACTGTACTGTACAGAGAGCAAAATACTACTTTCTTCTATAGAAGGAACATCGACGCTGACTCACCTGGGTCATCGCAAGTACTCCTGTTATTTGCAATGTGAGCCTTGATCTCAAAGAAAAGCTATTTCAAATCGATGATTGAGACAACTTCAACATGGTTTTACTGCAGTAATAATGGCGGGTAGCTGACGCCAAAAGGCCCAGCAAATTGCAATGCTATTTGACCAAGCTAATGCGGATTGCAAGAACTCGTTCGGACGCTCGTGAGTATTCGTCTCTTCCGAGCGGCTCCAGCAACATCCTTCTCTTCACACCGGGAAATCCAAGCTTCTGCTTCTCTCTCTTCGAGTTGGGTCATTTCTTCAAAGCGCCGATCCTATTTGACGACTTTATCGTGAGGCGAGGTATTCGAGCGTAATTACGCGC